AAACAAGGATTTTCTGGTCACTCAGCCTGTCCAAGACCACGCAGTGATGGGCCTGGGGTTTCTGTCTGGTAGTCTGTCTGTCTTTCCCAGTTCTGAGTTTCTGGCACCTGAGAGGAAGAGCAGCATGGGGGATGGGAGGGGCACAGAGGGGCTCGTCTGCGAGGGTACCAGGAAGAGGTGGTCTTCCCAGAGACAGTCTCTGAAGTATGAAGAGAAGACCACTGGGCTCCTAGAGGGGTGGCCGAGACTGGTGCCGGCCTTGGAGCACTCTTTCCGGACAGCTTTCCAGAACTCGCTAGAGCCAGTGGGAGATTTTTTTTTCTGCTGCAGGTCTAGGACTACCCCAGTGCCCAGCCTCACCTAAGCCAAGTGTCGTCCAGTCTCCTGTCCATGTTATCAAATCCTCCAAGGGAAAAAGAGCACCTCCCCCCACCCCCTAACACGCGCGCGCGCACACTCACACACACACGCATGCACACGCGCGCGCGCGCACACACACACACACACACGACCCTTCCTGATCCATCTCCTTAAAGTTCCTGATTTAGGGTCTACAGCCCTTAGATATTTCCATGGTCAGAAATAACAGTAAGAAAAATCTCTTCCCTTTTCTGGGCCTCAGATCCCCATGGTAATAGTAAGAGATTTCTGAAGAGTTCTGTGGGCAGTGAATGGGCAGAGAAGTGGACAAGAAAGGTCCAGCCCTGGTCTGAGGGAGGTCCTTTGGATGTCCCTGGGCCTGAGGATGCCTGGCAGTGGCATCAGCTTCATTTTAGGAACCTGGACAGAGGGCTTATCTGAGGTTAGCCAGGGTGAGGCAGCTCTGCTCACCATTTTTCCTGTCTGTCCTGGCTGAGCCACATTAACTGGAGCCCCCGGGCTGTTCTAGAGGATCACTGGGGCAGGGTCCCCAATGATAGAAATGCCAGAGAGGGAACTGTCTGTGGGTGAGGTTTGCTCGAGGCCTAACCCTCCTCCTTCAATAAAGCAGAGGTTTCTCTCTTCCCATTTGCCTCTCTGGGGACTGCCATCTGTCCCTCACTGGCGTATCAATCACTGCTGGGGAGGAGGTTGATGAGCCCCACTGGGAGAGGGAACACTGTGGGGCCTGCCCCCACCCACTCATTCTCAAAACCCCATCAGGGAAGCTGCTCAGTCCAGCCATTCGATCCACTGTCCCTGGTCTGTGTCTGAGCCTTGCCAAGTTGCTGAGTCTTAGGGACCCTCTCTGGGTCCTGGCCGAACGCAACCAGAAACCAGGCCATCAGAGCAACAACTCCTTTGACTTTAAAATCTATTTTCACAGGGTGCCTCAGTTGGTTTAGCTTTGGACTCTCAGGTTTTGGCTCAGGGTCTTGGGATCAAGCTGGGGCTCTACGTGGAGTCTGCTTGTCCCTCTCCCCTTCCCCTGCTTGCACCCTCTCACTAAAATAAATAGATAGATAGATAGATAGATAGATAGATAAAATCTTTAAAATATCTTCTGTTTTCACATCTCCTTTTTTCTATCCTGAGAATACAGGCCTTCCTCCCCCGCTCCTACCGTTCTTCACAGGAGAACATGATGGGGGGGGTGGGCACAGCCTTCTGACTCTTGTGAAGCATCATGCCCAGGGCCAAGGCCAGGGCTTGCAGAGCCTAGCGCCCCTTCCAGGCCCTGCCCCAGGCCCAGGATCAGAGAAGCCTCAGTGCCCCTTCCTGGGGGAAGGCAGAGTGGGCTCCCCTCTGTGGACTCTCCCCTGCACAGGACTAGGGCGATGCTGGGACTTCTGTTTCCCTCTTCTCTGCCCAACCCGAAATCACTTTCTGAAACAGCTCAAGATTGTAGGGGGGCCCAGCTCATGGTCATGGGAGCTTTTGTTTTAAAGCTCAGGCTCTGAACCCAAAATCTGGCTTAAACCCCGCCCACCTCATTGCCTTATTGGGCTCATTTGTAAAATGGGGATCAGCACTCCTCCACGGGGCTGTTGATAGGCATAAATACCCTGAAAAGTAGAGACAGTTGGCACCTGCACCAGCGGAACCACTCCACAGACGTCAGCAAGTCTTATCGTCCACCAGCAGCACTCTCCCCGCCTCCACCCTGGGCTGGAAAGAGACTTCCCCAAGAACTTCGAACATCAAGCACAATATCCGATCCTTGCTTCTCCTTGTTATTTTCACTGCTCGGGTCATTTACTGGGCACTCCTCGTGGCGCAAACACTATCTCAGTGCTTTCACAGGCTTACCTCGTTGACATGCCGGATTACCCCGGTGTACAGGCGGAGAGCCCATCCAGAAGCACAGAGAGGTTGATGGCCTGCCCGAATTTCACAGTAACGGAGCCGGATTGCTCCTCCTTCAGCCACTCTCTGAAGCCCCCGTAGGCCCCTGGGCCGTCCTGTGTCCACATCTGGTGCCCTTTCCTCAGACCAGCTGCCTCCCTCTTACCCAACAAGATGGGAAATTCCACTGCGGTCCTGGAGGTGCCTGTGGCCTTGACCCAAGCTCCCAGCAGAGGAGGTTCAAGCACCCCCCTGCATGAGAACAGAAAGCCCAGGGAAGGACAAGCTAAGAACTATCTCCTCTCCTTTTCTTTCTCCACCTTGTCTTGCTTCTATGATGCTCATCAAAGGGGCAGCCTCGGAGGTGCTTCCCACAGCCACTCACAACACTCAGTGCGCTCCTTCCACATGAGAGCTGAGCCTCTGGGCTACACAGGTGGCAGGGCTGTTACACACTGGCACTGTACCTAGCTGGTCAGGGGCAAGCCGGTGGAAGAATTACCCCACTACCCCTACCGGAGGGACCCTGCTGTGTTGTCGGGTTTGATCTCACCCCACTGGTGGGACCTGCTGGACTCCAGGCCCTCTGAATGAGAGCCAGCCAGATGGGCAGGTGGGAGTGGCTGGCGCACAGCTTGGGGCTCATCCCACTCACTGCTCCCTCACAGACTGGCAAGGGTCTGCCTCGATCCCCAACATTCTCAGAAAAACACCTTGCAGCCCCATGCAGGGACATCTGCCAACCATCTTCCGTGTTAACCACCTTGTCCCAGCCTAACATCCTCTCACTGCCCAAGAGCAGAAATATGTTTAAGGGAATGGACCCAGACAATGAGCCATCTGCCATTGACTGTTAACCAATCGAGTCCAAGCGCCTTACTGGAAAGGTGGGGAAACAGACACCCAGAGAGGCAGTGACTTGCCTCAAATCAAAGCCAGTTTAGTAACAAGCAACTGAGGTGAAGGAGTGTCCAAGCCAGGAAGACGGTGTTTCCTTAGTGAATGAATGGACATTCCCTGCAAGCCTACCTCTGCTCTAGGGTTTAGGAAAATACCTGTGGGGTACTTGTCTGGGGCTGATGGGTGACCTTCTGGAGTGAAAGCTTAACCCCTCTTAACCTTTGATCTCTGGCCATCAGTCCCCTCTCGGCCCCAACTCCATCTCCCAGGCTAAGTGAGTACAAATCCAGCATCAGCCTGTGCAGAGGCCACCTGGGCGGACAGAGAGGCCAAAGGGCCTGGCAAGGACAGAGCCCCTTTAAGCCGATCAGCCTTGGCGCAGTGAAGGGACCCCCGAGGGGGTGAGGTTGATGCCTGGCAGGAAATTACAGCAGGAGGGAAGAGTTGGGTAGGCCTGGCTCCTGGCTCCCACCAGGGCCCCTCCGTCCACATTCCCAGGACCAAAGCCCACGCCGGGGATGCACAAATGCTCCCAGGACTGGGCGGCGGGGGTGGGGGGGAGGCAGCATCTGGGGTTGAAAAGCCCACAGCCCTATCTAGAGCAGGCTCCTGCAGGAAAGCTGGAGGCTGGAGGGGACTTGAGCGTGCTTGAAAGAACAAACAGCTTTCAAGTACTCTCTGGAGTACCTATTTCATGGCAAACTCTTGTTATGCTAATGAAGGATCCTTCTTCTCTGCTTATTAGAGCACATCTCCAAAAGACTTCCTTGTAGCTACTGTGCATCTGTGTGCCTTTGTGTGTGAGTGTCTAGGAGTCAAACACGGGCTCCAGAAAAGGGCTGGGGTTTCCCTGTACACCCTGCCAGTGTGTGTTGAGACGGGAAAGGACATGCCACCAACATCTCACCTATTTAGAAATCACTCCAAAGAAACCTGCCCCTTCCCGGAGAACCACTGAGCATCGGGCAGCCAGCCAGGGGAAAAAATGTCCAAGCTGCACCGGGGATGTCACTTAGCTATGCCAGGGACCTCGGTGGATCCCGGTGTCAGCCCCTGATTCCTGCCTTGGCTCTGCACTCCAAGGCAGGGTACCTAACTGCGCTCTGAGACCGAGAGTGTCTGTCAAAGGTGAGGATTCTCGTCGAGGCCAGGTGCTTTGGAAAGCATGTGGCACGGGGCCTGCACACGGCAAGGAAGCTATCCCTCAAGGAGGAATTTCCACTGTGGTGAGCCTTGCTCTGGTCCCCGGCTCCACGCTCAGCACTGAGTAAGAACCCAGGGTAGGCAGGTTTGGATGAAGGCTTTGGGAATGAGGGCCCTGGGTATGTACCAGACATGTGGCTCGTACTTGGTAACCAATTTGGATAAGAGCTCAGGCATGATCCATAGATTTCCTTCTCAGAAAAGCGACACTGGGATTTTTCATCCCAACAGAAGGCTCAATAGCGTCAGCTTCCCAGAAAATTTGAGGGTGCAGGATAGACTCCTCACTCCCTCAGAATCAGTCAGGCCTCCACGACTCCACTACTTGGTGCTATGGACTGAATGACCCTCCCCTTCGTATATTGAAGCTCTCCCCTCCAAGGTGACTGGATTTGGAGATAGGGCTTTTCGGAGGTAATTAAAGTTAAATGAGGTCTTAAGGGTGGGATGCTAATCCAACAGGATTGGTGGCCTTATAAAAAAAGAACAGAAAGGGATCCCTCTCTCCCCCTCCCCCTCTCTCCCTCTCTCCCTCTCTCCCCCTCTCCCCCTCTCCCCCTCCCTCTCTCCCTCCTGCAGGAGGACACAGCAAGAAGGTGGCCATCTGCAAGCCAGGAAAAGAGAGCTCTCACCAGAATCCCGACCATGGCAGCGCCCCGATCCGAGGCCTCCAGCTTCCCGAACTGTGAGAACATTCACTTCTGTTGTTTAAGCTCTCCAGCGCATGGTATTTTGTTAACGGCAGCCTGAGTTGAGAATATATTTGGCCTCTCCATGCCTTAGTCTCCTTATCTGTAAAATGGGAGGTAATACCGGAGTCATTAGACCCATTAATGGAGCTTAGCCCAGCGCCAGGCGTCATAGTAAAGGCTCAGTAAGTGTCCTCTATCAGCATCATGATCATCCTTCCACGATGATATGCATCTCACCTGCTATAATGCTGATAGGAGGTGACCACCCAGATGCAGGCCCCCCCGAATGACGCAGCAAGACCTCTAGATAAGCAACACCCTTCAGGCATCTTTTGGACTGAAAAATGGCTTCCTGGAAGAGGAGAACGTTGAAAAACATTTTCCTAGTGGCTTAGTTGGCCCACCCCCTCCCTTGCTCTTAGGGGCAGGGAAGGATCAGATCGGAATAAGGGATAAGTAGTGAGCAGGAGGGAACAGCTGTAATGGGGGTCTCACCTGTGCCCTGTGCCCCCACCCCCACCCCAGGCCCTTACTTCAGCCCATTCTGGGGCCACGCAGGGGCAGGGTGATCACAGAGTGAGGAGAGAGGCTGTTGCCTTGGGGAAGAGAAAGCCCTCAAGAGCAGGCCACTGATCTCAAAGGGAAATAATGGGATTTTCTGGGATTCACATTGATCCCCAAAGGAGAAAAGCTTCTGTTTGCCTTTTTTAAGCCGCCAAACAAGGAACTAAAGCCTCTTTCAGCCCTGACTCAGGGCTGTCCTTTCTGAAGTCCTCATTATCCCTGGGGCACTGGGAGAACAGGCCCCAGCACTGGGCCCTCCACACAGGGAGCTTTCCGCCGGGCAGAGTCCTGCCTGGTTTCCTAGCGACCCAAACCCCACCCGACTGCAGGCCCTGGTACCTTGACCCACAGTTCTTGACTGTGGCCTGGCCAGGGCCAGGCTCCTCTCCCTGATTTGCGGGGGGATGTGTTTCCACATCCAGGAGCAAACACATGAAGCAATATCTCTTCACACCCCCAGACACCACACACACATTCCTCACCCCCACTGACCAACAAGGACATCAAGGATGACAATAGTCACATTAAGAGAGCCACTAGTTCTTGAGCAATGTTTTGCTCCGGGCTCCATCTTCTTCTCCACTGGGCCTTACCTCTGAAGATCCCAGTGCCTGGTGGGACAACCAGCCCTTACCCCATAGGGCTACTCGCAGCTCCAGGCCCACCAGTGACGCTCAGCTCTTGCCACGTGAGCTGTTCCTGTCATAGCCACACTCTAGATGGGGTCATCCTTCACCACTGCTCCTTCCACCTCTGAAACCTCACATATACACTCACTCACACACACACACACACACACACACACACACACACACACACACACAC